ATGTCTTCCGCAGGGGCTGGTCGGCGATCAAAATGGCTCACTCTGGGGTCTAGGTCGATGGAGTGGACCTCCTGCTCCACCTGTGCCGTATACAGTCGTCTTCGTGCTTTCAAACTGTCGCCATAGCATTTCCGAGCCACCTCCTGGTCCACTCGGAGAGTGCCCACAGTACCATTCGGCAACGGATACTTCACCTTCAGGTGGGAAGTAGACACCACCGCTCCTAGCTTGTTCAGGGTCGGCCTGCCGATCAATATACTATAGGATGACTGCGCGTTGACCACCAGATACCGAACAACCACCGTCTTCATCTGAGCGCCCTGGCCAAAGGTTGTTTCCAGGTCGGCATATCCCCTTGCAATGACCTGGTCTCCTGCAAAACCCACTAAAGTTCCTGCATAAGGGATTAGTCGTTCGTTAGGTATCTTCATCCCCTCGAAAGTTTCCCAAAATAAAATGTCAGCGGAGCTTCCCTGGTCAATCAATACACGCTTCACGTTGTACCCCATGACGATCGCCGATACGACGACGGGGTCGTCCTCATGAGGGGCCACTCCCTCATAATCTGAGTCCGAGAACGAAATCACTGGCTGAGTAGGTCGCCGGAACTCCGATAAGGTGAGCACTGACCGAGTGTACCTTTTTCGTGCAGAAGAGGTAATTCCCCCGCCCGCGAAGCCCCCCGCTACGGTGTTGAAATCCCCATGGATTGGTTGCTGATGGGCTTCCGACGGTTTTGCTGGCACGCCTCCGGGAGAAGTTCTCTCTTTACGCCTATCCCTCCCGGCGTCATCTTGCGTACCCCTGGGTCGCCTACTTGCGAAACAATATTCCTTCAATAGATTTTATTGCTAATATGTGCTCCTATGATAGTCTACTCTAAGTCTCCTATGAGTGCTTTAGGTTTTTCATAATGAATGCACATGACCTAACCCTTTTTTTTTTTTTTTTGAAGGGAACAAAACTAATTAATTTCTTTCATAATAAGAGGAGTAATACATGGTGGAATAAAATCAAAAGTGTGGGGACTAGCGTATGATCTTGCTGCCCTTGCTAGGGAATGAGCAACATGATTTGCTTGTCTCCTAATAAACCTAACCGAGAGGTTTTTATGAGAGGCTAAGATAGATCGTCCTTTTTGGATCAGAAGACCATATTCAGATAAGAGTTGATTAGATCCATGTAGGTCATCAACCACTGTTTTACAGTCAAGTTCAACTTGGACGTTCTCATAAGAAGAGTTTGTGAGCCAAGACATAGCCTCAATACAAGCTATAGCTTCTGCTTCATGTGGAGGTGAGAGTCCATGATACCATCCCGTGGTTGCTGCTTTGAACCTTCCATGGTTATCTCGAAGGCAAAAAGTGAAGCTATAACTATTTGTGTCTTTGAAAATTGCAGCATCAGTGTTGCACTTCATGAAACCTGGTTGTGGCTTGACCCAGTAGTTAGGTTCAGCAACCCGTGGTGATGGGGCTAGGTTAGTTGTTCTTGCGGCTAACCATTCTTCCAGACGTTGTCTTGCGAGGAAAATGGATACTCCTATAGGGCTGGAAACATCATTCCAGAGCTTATCATTTCTTCTACGCCAGATGCACCATAGTAGTGCTAATAGTTCTGTTGCTTCCTTTGTATCCAAATGATTTAGGAGCTGAAAAATGGTGTCTGTGGTGCCTTCACCCTGATCTACAATATTTTTTATCTTATCCCACATACCCGAAGATGTCCATATGTCTTTTGCAGATGCACATGTGAAGAATACGTGCCACTCATTCTCTAGTTCTGAGTTGCACGAGACACAAAGCGTGGTGCATGGCACATGCTTACGTTGCAAATTTATCCTTGTAGGTAAACATCCACGTAGTAAGCGCCATAGAAAGATCTTCATCGTATGAGGGGCTTTCAGGTTCCATAATAACTTCCAGTTGCCTGTAATTCTTAGGTCGACGTTTGAGATGGTGTGCTCCATAAGATGATAATAGGTTGATTTCATTGTATATATGCCTTTCCTATTTAGTGTCCAAGTGACCATGTCTGGCTTGTTTAGGTGAGGGAGAGGCATAGTTTGAATGGCTTGTAGGTCTTGCTAGTGAAAGAGAGCAGATAAAGTTGGCAGATCCCAGCGTCCAGTGGAGAAATCAATAAGGTCCCTTACCATGAGAGATTCACTCCTTGTGGGTGTGTGTGAGGAGATGTAAGGATTTCCTAACCGGCGCAGCCATGGATCTTTCCAAACATTAATGCGAGTACCATTCCCAACACACCAACGGATTCCTTTCTTGACTATTACCTGTGAAGCAAAGATGCTACGCCATATGTAGCTTGGGTTGTGGCCTAAACGGCCCCCCAAAAAATCCCCTTGAGGGAAGTATCTGGATTTGAAGACTCTTGTAAAGATAGCATCGGACCTAACCCCTTTTCTATTTTCCCTTTTTTAATTAGTCTTTGAGTTGAGCCTAAAGTTCATACCAAAATCTTCTTATTAGCTCTCCCCATTTTACTTTTAATAATAAAATATTTCTCTTGTATTTTCTAATTATTCTAATTTAATTATTATCATTTTTTTAAAACTAGGATGTTACATATATAAGTAGGGAACAATCTTCACCTTATAAGTTAGTTTTATAAGGTTAAGTTAGATTCTATCCACTTTCTTAAGATAGTCAACACATATCAAAGCCTATAATAACGAATGTTGTTGGGATTATCAGGCTACTTGCTATTAGACCACTTATAAATGTCCTTAGCATGAGAAAATGTATTGGAGATCTTACATCAATTAAGAATAAAATTACAATAATGTATATAAATAAAGAACAATCATCATTTTATAAGTTAATTTTATAAGATTAAGTTAAACATCATTTTAATAAAATGATTTAAAGTCTAACTCAACTTTACAATTTCAACTTATAAAATAAATATTATTTTTTACATATATATTATTATAACTTTATTCTTAGTTGATGATTTCTAACATTAGCTAAAATATTTGATTTTCTAGTAAGATTTTAAGGGATTGTCATAAATTGTAATAATTTGAATGCAATAGGGATCAAATATTTGGTCAAACTTATAGTTATTATTTTCCCCTTTTTAAAATTGTATTTCATAACAATTAAACTCAACTTCTCTCCTACGACATGAGTGTGTTGTCAAGACTCAAGAGTCACATTTATATAAACAACGTTGATTATTAGTTTACCAAAGATTACTTTTCTAAAACCCATACTTTGACTCGGTTTCCAAGAGAAAGCAGTACGTACTATGCGAGGTGGTAAAAACTCCAAACGAAATGCACGCCATTGCTGAAGAGTGAAGACCACCAAGAGAAAGAGGCCAAAAAGTGGGACCCAACCAAGATTCTGATTGAAAATTTTTATTTTTATTTTATTATCAGCTATTAATGATTTCAGGGTTTTGGCTGTTAGGGTTTAGCTTCGGAATTTATGAGAGAGAAAGTAAAATAAAAAGGTAAAAACACAGAAAAAGAATTCGTTTTTTACCAACGTTATTTGGAGGTCCAAGCACGGGTTTGGGGTTTCATTTCATTTGGTCGCACAGTGTTGTCGGCCACTCTCTCTCTCTCTCCTCTTTTTGGCGCCGATTGGTACTCTTCCCTTTCCGATTTCTTTTTTTCTTTCTCTGTTAACTTTTCGCACTTACGATTCTTAGGTTTTTCGTTGTGGTTCTTCTGAATTGGAGATTTGGGTTTTAGGGGTTCTTCTGAATTGGAGATTTGGGTTTTCGGTTGCCCTAATATTGTCGCATTGTATGTGAATCGGACGAGTTTTGCCAACATTTTTTGGGGGTTTTATGGGATTTTGCGTTCTCAGATTTGCTTATGATGACGGTGTGTTTTGGTGAGAGATTAAACGTTTAGTTGTTCGGGTTGGGTTTCACTGACCTGTTTACTGTTTGATTTGTATTGTTAGGGTTATTGGGAGACGGTGGTAAGAGTGAGAGATTCTGATTGTAGGGTTTGTAAACTGTGTTTTGCCTATTGATGTGTAATGTAACTGTTAAATAAGCTGTTTTCGGTACTCTTAATTCGTGAGTGGCCAATGTTCTAAAGTGGGATTTTCTTTTTAAATAGAACTTTTCTGGGTGGTTTTGCTTAACGTTATGAATTATGAGCTATGGGGTGTGTTTGTGTTCCCCACTTTCTTCATTATGATGAACTTTGATTGTGAACATGGCTTGCATTGGTTGTTCAAGGATCATTGTGGGTTCTGTTTACATTGTGGGCGATTTAATGGCTGTTTTACGAGAAGGATCTTGAGGTGAAATTGCTTTGATTTTTGTGGCCTGATCTAAATAAATTTTTGAAAATTAATATTTCGCAAAAGGCTAAATGGTTGGATGTTTTGTGGTACAGTACAGTCCATGTTAGGTGTTGGTTACATACACCAAAAGCAAGCTAAGTTCATCTTGTTGTTGTGTTTTTCAGTGAAAGTATCATCATGGCGTGTAGGAATTGCTTTCTGTGGCTTACTGCGTTTGGATTTAATATGAAATAGCAGATTAATGGTGTATGATTTTGTTTATACTCTGTTTTTTTGGACTTGTAAATCATGATGGCATGTTGCACTATGATGGGTTCATATCATGTAGAATATTTGGATTAAATGAATCTTTGTCATCTAAAGGATTGCCGACCAAGTTTTTTTTTGTTAATTCGTTATGTGTTTCTAATGCGGATGATTGCACTCAAGATTCATGTGTTTCTTTTGGAGTTTACAGAAATTGTGAGGACCAACAGACCACTTGAGATAGTTTAACTTAGTTGCAGGGGATGGAACCGTGGGGTGTTCATCATCGAGTGGTGTTCATTGGTCAGCACGAGGAAGATGGAACTCCTTCTGACACTTCTAGAGGAGAGGAATCAAATGATGAGGAAGAAACCGTCGTTAAAATTGAACCTGTCTCTGTGCCAGAAATTAAGAAAAGGAAGCGCCTTAGCCTTAGTCAGCTTAAGGAGGTGAAAGAGGAGTCATGTGAGAAGCAAAGCAGTAGCAAGCTTAAGAAAAAGAAGCATGAAAGCAGGGATAGATGGTCCGCTGATAGGTAAAGCAAATATGTGATATTCTTCTTGTTATCTTCCTTATTTCTACCATATTTATTCATGATGTAATCAATTATATAATGTAGGTATAAGTTGGCTGAGCAAAACATGTGGGAGGTGCTAAAGGCTGAAGGGGCAACATTTGAAAACCCAATAACCCGACCTGCACTGAGATTGGCTGCCCGCAAACACATTGGTGATACTGGACTTTTAGACCACTTACTTAAGCATATTGATGGTAAAGTGGCTCCTGGAGGTACCGACCGATTCCGAAGATGGTTCAACACCAATGGAATCATGGAGTATTGGTTGGAGAGTGCTGAGTTGGAAAAGGTGCGCCAGGAGGCAGGGGTGCGGGATCCCTATTGGTTACCTGATTCTTCTGGCGAATTGAAACAGCTTAAAATAGAATTGGCGCAAATGAAGAAGTATTGAACTTGGAGACTGAATATCAAGTTAATTTTGTATGATTTCTATTTTATTTTCTTTAATGATTTTACTTGTATAGCAGAGATATGCAGGAACTCATTGGCAAGAAGGAAGAGAAAAATGATATTAATTCAATGGAGGTGAATGTTGTATAATTTGTTAATAATTTGTTAATTGAATGGTTTGCTGTCTTTTACAGCACTTCATGATGTTTCGTGTTGAGTTGCTATGGCAGGAAACACACAAGGATTTTGTGAAGTGGAAAGCTATGACTGACCATCGCCTTACTGAAATCATGACTTCTTTGAAGGGTGTGCAGGTATCCAAAGAAGTAAATTGCCATCATTTTCTCATCCTTCTAAGACTTCATGGGATTTCATGTTATTGGATTTTTTTCTATTAAGTTGATTTATTTGTTCACTTTTGTGATCTCTGGCTCACTTAAGTTTTTTATCCCTATGAAAAGGGGTAAAGGGATATCAAGAAGGACATTGGAAGAAATTATTTAAAGGAATCTCATCTTGAATAATATTCATGATAATTTATTTTTTTAACCAAGTCCATTGGCATCATATAATTCTCGGAGCTGACCTCATCCAGTGAGACAAGGCTATTGTTGAGAGTGATGCTGACAATGTGGTCTCTGGCTTACTGTAGTTTTATATATTGACAGGGAAAGTATGGTGAATTGGTGATTTGGAAAACTAAAGTTGAGCAACAACTTGTGGAAATAACTAGTAAATTGAATGATCTTCAAGCATCAAGGGAGTGCACCACTTTAAGTCCTCCTTCAGAAAGGTGGAAGGATTGGATAGAAAGCACCAACCTAGACAATATTCAGGAAGATGCATTTGCAACTTGGATTGGGAATCCAGAGCTACTTAATGTTCCAGAAGAGATTGTACTTGAAGAGCCCAGCACTGCCATACCTACACAACCATCCAATGAAGAGCTGACTAACAAGAAGAGGTAAGATCTATGAAGTCAATTTCATTACCCCCCTTCCCCCATTTCTTTCTCCCGCCCCTGTTACCTCCTTTGAGGGGTAAAAACCAGGAAGGGAAAAATAGTTATTTTTTTTTCTTTCTAGAATTCCTCATTTTTCCCCTCAAAATAATAGCGATGTGCTGGAGTTGGTGCAACCTGTTAAACAAGAAGATCAACCTAATGTGACCCCTGATTCTTCTACAACTGTTAATTCAAAGTCAGACCTTGACAACTCATTGATTATGTTTCAGGTGATGTTGACAGTGTGTACATACCACTTGTAACAATTTTACAAGTTTTATTTATTTTATGTATTCAATATTTACAATGTTTTGTTACAGGAAATGTTTGTGGATTTATACAAATGGAAAGAAAAAATGGAGCAGCAGCTGATGGAGGTATCAAATACTGTATATGGTATGTTGGCAATGAAGTAGGCATCACTTCAGAGTATCGAGCCTAGGATAGGATTATAACCACCCTTTCGTTCATATGTTTTTCTTCGTTACTCTTAAAACTGGGTAGAGTTTAGATATTGTACAGCATTAACAATCTGATCCTGAAAATCTATGCCAACCACTAAGTTCACAGAAGAGGTTGAGTCTCATCCTGGTGGATGAGCTGCAAATTGTTGATATATTTGACTGGCCTTTTACATTATACTTGGTTATGACTTAAGTAAGGTAGGTATTCAGTGGGACTGAAATTGGTTGTTTTATCGACTTGTTGGGTAATATTATGAGTTACTATAGTATAGGTCATTAGGTAGGCTTTACCCGTATTAGCTTGAGCTATAATGTTAGAACTTGTACTTAACCTATATGGGAATTAGTTGCCATATTTATATATAGAATTTCTACAATATCGTTCAACATATATTGTGGATGTCTTAACATTGTTAATTTCAAAATATACTGTGTTATGCCCTTGTCAAGAACCACAGCAAACCTAATAATCGCCAAAATAGTTGTAGAAAGTGGAACAGTAAGGAAAGAATATGCAAATTAGCTCAAAGCTTTCGCACCAGAATTAATCTAAGCTTTTGAAAGAAAAAGGGAAAGGCAGTGTGCATCTACGCCGACAAGGGCCCCAATATTTGCAGCTTTCGCTGCTTGAGATTCCACGACTAGTGCCGAATTTGAGTGGGGTTTGGGCCAAAAGTCACACGATTGGAAAGCCAAGAAAACTTGGTGCGTCTTTGGGACAATACTTACGTCCTAAAAAACTTATTTCTAAGTAAAGAAAAAATTGTTTGTAAAAAGGCGTATAAGGTAAAATGATCAAAACGATAATAACTTTTTTATGATAACAAGTTATTGGCTTAATTGTATCGTATTGTGTGCTTTCAAATTTTTACTTTGTTGTATTATTAGTTGAAGATGTGTCTATTTTAAAAAATAAAATAAGAATAAGACAATGTAACGGGTGATTGCAAAGAGAAAAATTAATTACAACTATTAAAAAAAGTCATTTGTTGATAACTATAAGGATAAAATAGTTCTAAAAAGTATGTATACTAAAAAGAAATATTTTTATTATTAGTGCACATTATTATTATTAGTTATATTAAAGTCTAGTTAGATCTTATCTATTTTAATGTACTTTGAATTGTATCTATTTTATTATGCGGTATTTATATTAATATATTGGATTATCTAATATATGAGTGATTATATATGAGTATTAATACAAATTTAAAATGATTGAAAAAATAAATATTTGGTGGCAAAATTTGTAACAAAGTGGTAATTTGAAGGATACAGAGCAATTAAGTCTAGTATTTCCATCAACATTTTATACTTTAATGGAATATTGATAGGACTATAATTCGTAATATACCAAAATTAGGAGGTAAAATGGATATGAATTAGTTGAGGCAGAATTTATGACAAAATTAATGTTTTAGAGCATAAAATACAATTAAGTTTTTCAATTCTTTACGATTTTTTTTTTTTTTGTGAATCAAAGATATTCTCCAATCAATAGTCATGAGTTAATTCTTTTTTAGATATAGAAATCATTGAAATACATTTTATGTCTCCCAATAAAATAGAGAATTGAACTTCTATTGTGACACTTAAGGAATTCGGCAGTCTATTAACTTAGTTGAATCTCGTTGGTATGATCATTTGTTTTTAAATACAAGATTGATTATTATTATAAATAGCATCATATCCTTTTCTATAATTTTACTATAAAAAAGTTTTTTTTTTGTTACCTAAACAAAATATAGTTTTAGTATTAATGTTTTTTCTCTTAACATATCTAAACATATATTTTATATGCTTTCTTTAGTCATAATGTACACCCTTTAAAAATTACTTTTTTTAGGACTTGAAAGTCTAAAACATAAATAAATTATAGACTGGGGAGAGTAATTGATTATAAATATGTAATGGATTATGGAAATAATCCTAACATTTAAAGGGTTTAATGTAGAAACCACTTGTTACATGTTTAAAAAGTCATTTTGCATGTCGAAGAAAACTGTTGACTTATCTTAAGTCACTTTGAATTGATAAAATCACTCACAAATATTATTCAGGAAATAAGTGCATTTTTGGTGACAAAATAATTTGAAAAAGTGCTTAATTTCAAATAATTAAAATTTAGTTAAGTCACGTAGTTCCATGAAAACGATACACAATTACAAAAGGAGTGGGGAGGGGGTCAAGACAAAAATTTGCACTTTCATCAGAAAATATTTAATAAGAAATACACTCAACATATGATACAAGGCACGTCCTGTAATTGCAATCAGCTATATTCAATATTTGCCACATTCAGAAAGCAACCTCTTGACGTTCCCTGTTGATAAAAATCAGGAAACTACATGCCTTTGCAGGTTCCAATGAACTGACACCAGCTCAAACCTTTAGGTTAGAACTTGCAAGATAAATAGAATAATAACTTCAACAAGATTGTAGCTAGGCATTCAGTTCGATTGGAGTTTAACTTTAACTTCATCATAGCAAGCCTGAAGATCCCTGAACTCTTCTGTATCGGAGAAGCTCTGAGCCTGAGCATACAAGTAACAAATTCTACAAAATTTCAACGGATGGCCAATGCAAGCTAACAAAATAGATTTAATATGAGTGAAGTAAGCAAAGAATGCAATGTTTCTTGAATTTTTCAACTCTCAAACAAACTTTACAATAAGGTATCTTGCCTGTCTGATGACATTCTTCAAGTGCATCTCAGCCGTAGACAATTGTTTAATACTACCAGTAGATGAAAATATTTCCACGTACACCTGGCAAAGTTCCAAAGTTGCTTTTGCAAACTTTTTGAACCGATCTCGGTCCTTCCATGTATCAGATCCCTGAGGGAATACAATCGCAAAATAATAAAATGAAAACCACATCCGTGAATTGGATATGAAAATTATCATTAGGACAACACTTGTGTAAGGGGTTTCAAAGAGCTAGCAAGTAGATCATAAATCAAGAGATCGAAGATAATTGAATTAAATTTATAGGGGAAGAGATCATTGCTCTTGAAAATCTAAAGATAAAAACGTTGCTGCGTCCACAATTTTGTTAAGACTTTACTACAGAAAACTTCACATCAACAAACAAGAAGACTGCATAGTTGTAGCAATGTAACTGCACAGACCTTGGATAAGGAACATAGATTTACAAGTCTTGTTCTTTTAGAGTATCAACACAATCAAATTAACAACATTCTATATAATTATATTTCTCAAATGTCAAAAACAAGATGAAAGAAACACGGTATGGTGCAACAGAAAGTTATATATAGTACTTTTAAGAAGAAAAAAGAAGATATATCTAAGATGGCATGGACCGTGTGAGACATACCTGGAGTGACCTAACTTGCTTTAAGAGGGCTTCAGAACACATCATGAGATCATCATTCATTCTGTGCCATTTGGCATATAAGCCCCAGATATCAGGTCCACATCCACTCCCATTTTTAACTATCTGTATCAAAGTATTAAATATTAACCTTTATTTAACTTGCAGAGCAAACAATATTGCAGTGCACTTAAAGTCTGTCACTGGCAGTCTGACAGAGTTTGATGCTATTTACAAATAAGCACAGAAACCACCTTAGCTACATTACCCGTGGATGGGGATCGAATGGGAATTGGTCATCAATCACTTTGTTAAATAAAAGGGATCTACAAAAACAGAATCTTGATAGAATTGTGTACCTGTTGTAAAACTTTTCCAAGTAAAAACAATAATTGTTCAGTTTCACGCGATCTTGCTGCAACAGATCCTCCAGATACTTGCTCTTGATATTCTAATCCAGAACCAACAATGCAGAATTTATCTGTTTTAGGTTCATTATCAGTTATCAAAGATGGCACATTACTTGTTGAAAGCCGCTTTTCCACCTCCCTTGTGATTCTTTCCAATAACTCCATATCTACTCTCTTATTATTGGTTATGTCCAAAATCATCTGGACACCTTCCAGTGCCTAAAAGAATTTATCAAACAAAATGATCAACAAAAAACCAAAAGTCATGCCCGCAGTATAATTATTTCTTAGAACACCACATTTAAACTAAAAAGGCCTTCAAATTTATTTGCTTCCCGTTATATATCATCTTCAACTTTCAACATTATGGGGATCTTTGGAAGAGTTTCCACACAGCTTATTTGATCTCATATATGCACTTCCTCTGAAAATTAAAGTTGTTCGGCAAAGCTTGTGAAAGTGACTTATGAAAGCAAAAACTTATTTTTTAAGCTAAAAAAAACTCATAAAAGGATCATAAGCAATTTTAATAAGCTCGGACTATCAAAATATGTTCATTGAATTAAAGAGGTTAATTAAGCCCCTTGTATCATGTTTGTATGATCCATATGAATCAAGTCATTATTGAAAATGGCAATTAAACTGAAAAAATTAGAACTGAGACTAAATATTTGTAATATTTCTTTAAAAAAAGAAATTTCAAGTGCGAAGTTTGAAATGAAAGCATCGGTGTTATCTTTAACAAGGCTACATAAAATGACTTTATTTCAATTTAATTTGAATAAGTTGAGTTTCTGTAAATTCAGCTAGGGATCTCCACATGCCAAATATTTTGATCACTTAAATTCGTTTTTGCTATGTAGTAGGTATTAAAGAAACAACAATACATCATTTCACAGATGGAACTTGTTTTCTGCAATAAGTTGAAATTTTAAACAGGACTAGGTATTTAAAGTCCACTCTCTACAGGTCTGCGATAGTAAACAAATTCAGTTACAGATAACTAAAGATTAAATACAAACCCAACATCACTCAACTTTCAGCACTAACAATTGACCACCACCCTATAATTATAGATAGAATATAATCAACTACCACTTTTCTTAATAAAATTCCATTTTTCTAAAAAATACAAAAAACTATAAATTATTTTTAAAAAAAATTTTCAGGTCATTTTGTTAAAAATTGAATATAAAAAATCTCTCTCTCTCTCTCACTCACTCACTCTTTCTCTTTCTTTTATGTAAAGGAGTTGAGAATCTTTGTTACATAGCTTTTATCTCTTTTGTTGTTTTGTTTTGTTTGTTGTTTAGGAGAATTCATCTATTTTCATTTCCCTTTGTAATTTAATTATCTCAATAAACTTCTGTTTTACTTAAATAAAAAAATAAAGGTTATTTTTAAAAAAATCAAGTGATTTTGTTAAAAATGAAGAAAAAAACTTATATTTTTTTTTAACATTTTAAAAGTCTTTTTTCTTTTTTATACTTTTGTGACAATCTGATAGGATTTCATAAGACTTACAAAAGAATACTTTTCGACAATATTGAAATCACTTTTTTTTAGCTAAAACAAATAACCATCTAGGAAATCTTTTTGTTTTTTTGATTAGAAGGTATAACTCATAGTAGTCAATCCCGGATAGCGGAGCGGAGCGGTCGACCCTAAAAATGGGATAGCGGGATGACGCGGAGCGAGATAACCTCTATTTTAATATTAATTTATATATATTAAATAATTAATAATATATATATAAAAGCTAAAAAAACAAAAAATAACTCTAAATTCATGCATTAAACATTTTTAATAATTAAAAATTCATAGTACTCAAACAATACATAATATAAAAATAAAATTTGCTAAATTAAATTTAATCAGAAATTAAAAATAAAATTTGCTGAATTAAATTTAATAAAAAATTAAAAATAAAATTATGTTGCATAAACTAAAAAGAGAGAAGACATATTAACAGAAGACAGACGATGAGTGGAGGGAGGCACGTCGGGGCTGGAGTTTGTTGCGGAATTGGAAGACTGCGCGTCCACGATCGTCCTCGAGAGAGAAGAAACAATCGTCCGAGAGAGAGAGGAGAGGGAGTGCGAGAACTGAGAAACCAAGTGGTTCCGGGAGAGGGGAGCATTAGGGCAAAAAAAGCCCTATTGAAAAGACAGACTTACCCTTAATGAAGGGTATGTCGAAATCGCGCCGCGATTTTTCGCCGCTCTGCTCCGCCACCGACATGGCCACGACACACATCCGCCACGCGACAGCAGCAAGATGGCGGGGTCAGGCTGCTCCGCTCCAGAGCGCCGCGATAGCAGCCGCTCCGCCCGCTATTAACTACTATGGTATAACTGCCCCTCACCAATCAATTCTTATAGGAGTAAAGTGGTACTTTCAATTGTGACTCTAGGATATCTACTAATGTGTTGAATGGAATAAATTTATCAAACCATTTCATTAGAGGTTCTGCTTCATGCATTTTAAAATAATCCAAACAAGGAAGTTAATGCATTCCATCCTTTCCATCAATTTCAAACATACCCTAAGGAAGATTGCATACAGAACAAAGCATGCAGGTTAGAGAATAGACTGCACAAAAAACATCTTTCTACCTTCGGTCTATTACTTCAAATCATATCGAAGACCCATATGTATCATAGACTTGTTTTGACCAACAAAGAGAGAAACTGAGAACAGCAGATACCTGACTGATATTGCCAATGTCAACAGCAACATGGCTGTAGTTCTCCCATAGTTGCCAGCTGTTTCGTCTGTTACCATATATCATTGTATTACTATTTATTCTAAGAGGGTTAAATTTGCAATGTTTATGAACCAATAATATATATGCTGTATGCATGTATGCATTTGTGCATGCATGCATATGCCCATATTTATGACACAAAGGAAGTATAATAAAAAGCATAAATATGAAAACTTGAATTCCAAGGCTTCTTCAAATGATTATGTATCAATACATTGTTGTATGTATGTGAGCATTTATGCATGTAAGCATACATATGCCCATATTTATGATGCAAAGGAAGTTTAATGAAAGGGATACTAAACTTGAATTTCAAGGCTTCTTTAAATGCAATGAAGGACTCCTTGCTCTTTTTCTTGATCATATGCCTGCATGTCAGGTAAGACATATAATAAGTAAAAGCTAGAACCAAAATTTAATAACTCACGGCTGATTTTCATTATTGTTATTAATTATTATGAACCAGATACCACTTTATTAATTGTTCTCACAACAGTAATACCAACGTAAAATAAGGTAGAGGTTTCAGCATGAATAATTATAATGTCAAACTCTGAGTGAAGGCAATTCCAATCCAGTTTATACAGAGGTATGAAGATACTTCTGTGGGCCTAAGGAGACACCCCAAGGGTTAAGCAGCAAATACTACTAGCTGGAGGTCTCAAATTAAAACCTATCAAGGAATGGACTGGGTGAAATTTAAGGGAAGGGGATGACTTTATCCGTACTAAGTAGCCTGAGTGCAGATGGAACTAAATGTTTGAGGATTCGAAAGAAAAAGTTTGTACAATGAAACAAACTACGCTATTTCCTATAGTTGAGTACAAGAATAAAAACTCCATACAAGCAAGCAATGTTATTCCAAGCTTCCCCATTTTCAGGATCAAGTTGAACAGCACGAGTAAACGCATCCAGAGCCTTTTCTATGTCACGTGCCTGTAAAATTTTCCCACTTAGCTTGACAATCTAAAGAAAGCAAAAATGAGAAAAATAAAGCAAAGAACAAGTCAACATTAGCTATTGTAAAAGATGGGCATTGGTGGTAATTTAGTGCCCATCCACAGACAAACCAATCAGGTGATGCCATACATAAACTGCATACTCATTTGTACACAGCTGCACAAGTGGTAATATGATATCTATGCAAAACTGAAGTGACTTCCAGAAATTAACTATCTGAACAAGGGCTGTGCACAGTTCAGTTTTTAAAAAAACCAAGCCACTTTATAAAAATGGATTGTTTCGCCTTTTACTTTTGGACAGGTCATTTTTTAAAAAATGGTTCCATTCGGGTTAAAGCTGTTACATTACATTCGTATCTAATCAACTATTAGTTGTCCTAAACTTAACACATTCACCAACCTGTTGAATTCACCAAATATGAACTAAAATTAATATATTGCTACCACATTAACAGAGCAATAGTCGCTTCCATTACGGGTATTCAGACTTTCCCTAAAGGGTGAATTTGTACCTTTTATCTTGATAAAATAATTGTACATTTTATTGCAAATCTAACTGTGCAAAAGCAAATAAAATATAACCAAGCTTGGTGGAGATCACACAATTACCTTCAACGCAGCAGCCCCAAGTGCAAACCAACCATCTGGATACAAAGAGTTCAATGACATTGCAGACTCCCTGAATTTGATGAACAAAAAATTACTATATTTAACATATTCCAAATAATATTACAATCAAAACTACAAAAGTTATATATACATTAATGACAAATATAATGATGATAAAAGTGAAATGCTTCGGGTATCAGGACAAATCACCTACCACAAAATTTTAGACGTCTCATAGTCTCCTCTATTGTATGCACTGCGAGCCAGAGAACACTGTCAAACAGAGAAAAACAAATCAATTAAGAAAGAAAATGTAAATTTAAATTTTTGTAAAATGATAGAAGTAAATATGTAGAGAACAAACATGCACTACAAACATGAACATGTACACAGGCACACCTTTGCTCTAGCAGACCTATTGTTTGAAACTTCCAGAGCTTTTTCATAGCATGCATCATTAGCAGTAGTATCACCCAGGGAGCACCTAGAAAAATTTTAGCATGAGTGAAAAAGACTATGCAAAATAATTTTCTATAATATTGTTATTTCAGTTTTTACATTGGATATACTGTAAGTTAGCATGACAGCCATCATGATTGGTTCTTGAGCAATTATTAAGTAAATGGAAAATAAAAAATAGCATGATAACTAGAATTATCCTTGGTGAAAATTCTGGCTTAAAAAAAAGACAGGGTACTTGAGAAATTTTCAAAAAACTATAGGTGGTCAGTCATCTTCCACTAGAATACCTAAGATTCTGTCACAAATAAATGGGTCAAACATCAGTGTTTAATCCAAATTATTGATTGAAGATACTTAACCCATACTATCATTGATATAAATCATTATTCTAATATCCAACCCAATAAATCCATATTCTTAAATCAATTAGCATCATATTGTATGAGAGATGACAGAGCAAGCAATGATAGGCCTTTAAGTCGTGATTTTCTTCTAGAAAGACACATTCAACATTTTATATGCTCTTGGTAGGTCTTTAGTGATTCTGACATCATTCAAAAGGTTAGCTTTTTTCAAAATGGTTGATAATTGATGCAAAAAGACGGATTTAGTGGGAACCATACTTTACATAATATCAATGCTTATGTTCCTATCAGTTTTGGTTATGGCAGTCATTTCAATCCTCAAGCATATTTGACTGGATCAGAATGCCTGTATTTCTAAGTTTGTTCCTTTGCCTATAAACTTGGTACATATGATAGGATTACATTTGTAGCTTCTCTTTGGTGTTCTTATTACAATATAAGATAATTATCGATTCTGAAAGGCAGCAGAGACTAGGAGCCTTAGTACGGGATTTTCCTATCTCATGTTTTATTTTGTTTATCTTTGGGAAAATCATGGTTTTCCCCTCAGTTTTACTCTGCTACCTTGTAGTTTAAAAATGACACTTGGCTACTTTGTCCTTTAATTAGTTAACTTGCAAGTTCTGTCAATATTATTCATTACTATCATAAATTCAACTTTGATTTGATATACATTATGTATGTGAAATACTGTACATAAAAGTTACCTCCTTTATAACAACCATTAACATTTTATGAAAAATTAACATGTGTGATTCAATTTTTTTGAGTAGATGTTTATACGCCCTAAATGTGCTCCAAATGTTTGCCTGATTTTGAAATACTATAGATGTGGTTTTGTGTAAAATAGTTATATATGTTTATAGTATAACAAGGTTTCTATGCCTACATAGCATAGCAGGCTTGAAATTATAAAGTAACAAGAGGAACTATATAATGTAGGGAAGCTGTCTTCACGGTCATGATGCATAATATAGATAGAAAAAACCACACAAGGGAATGTACTAATTTAGCAAGGTAATGGACTACTGGAAATCAATTTGAGATTAGGAATATATCAAACCATTTGTATATTTGGGGGATAAAATCCTGTTATCCTTTACTACATTTGTCTCTCCATTTTCGCAAAGAATGTTATCCTGTAACCCTTTACATCATTTCCCCTAACATTCTTTGCTAAAATGATAAATGCAGTAAGAGAATAAAATTTTCAAAAATATATCCTCCTAGAAGAATCAGATAAAACATAAAGGAACAATAATGTGTTAGATATTTTGATAGAAAAATAATAAATGCTAAAAGATTTGGATGGCCTATCCCCATGTTTATTATACCCCTAAACATACTCTGCAAGAAATCATCAACAAGTGACAGCCTACATCAACTTAAGAATGGATTGTAAATATGATATAGTACTTGTTGGAGAAATGGTCAAATTCAAAAGTAATCACAATCCAATTTTAAGAAAGCAAAAATAAGCAAGCTAAGTAACATACCATAACCTGGGATCATTTGGTCTTTCTGAAAGACGTTTCCTGATAAGTTCAACAGCAGTTGCTTTCTTCTCCAATAGACTGTTTTCCAAGTCAAATATCAAATGAATATCATAGCCAATGAAAAATGAATAATGAGAGGGAAAAAATCATTTGGTTTATTCATTTCAGTTTCTATTATACCTGTAGCAATATATAAGATTATCCCATAATTCTAAATCTTCAAACTCCTTCACTGCCTCTCCTATCAAACCACATCGCACCAAAAGTAACCCATATTCCCTGAAATTGGTAGAAAAAGAAATAAGGAAGTTAAAGAGTCATCTGATTTTTATGAAGCAACAATACAAAAAGGCTTACAAAGCAAATTTTTTTACTTTCTTAATGCAGGAATACTAGGCATAAAAACAGCATAACTGAAAGCAATTCTTTCTGCTATTGCTGGAGAAGATTCATAAATATGTTTAACCTGCAAAAAATGTAGTATAACTTTATCAGGTACAACTAAACAAATCAAAACAACTCATAGCTGAGTATTCTTCTGCATGTCGCTATTATATTTTTGTTGATGCTATGCTACCTTTCTCAAGGATATGTCACATTTTACTAAGCAGGTTGAACCAGACATTATCGATTGTAATTAATTTTGATATCTTATGTATGCTGAGTGCAATTTACTCATGATATTTCACATACCACCAAAGTCCTTAAACTCTTCAAGAAGTCAAAAGATGAGTGTGATCCAAATTCAAATTTCAGTTGACATAAACCATAATAAATAAAAAAATGATTAAAACAAGTTGATAGCTTGTTCTCTTTATTTTGTGTGAAAAGCTTAATGTATATATTTTAGTCAAAAGAATATATAACAAACTTTCATTGCAATGGACATACAGGAAAAGGAAGAGTCAAACAATACACTTGTATAATTCCCAAGTTAATATGCTAACTAAAATACAAGAATACCAAATTATCCATCATCAGTAAGGCGCGCTCCTTAGTTCGGCTCCGAGATGACTCCCATCGGATACGTAAAACATCGCATAAGCACCGTATCTAAAGCAGGAAAGTGAAAAATATAAAATGCAGATAATGGTTTACAAACTAAACAAATATAAACTGTAGATTTTTGTTTACTTACAGTGAAGTATAACATATGCTGGGAATCAATTGCCTCAATGTAAGGTGCCATATCCCATCCTGAAACAGAGTCACAAGCCAGCAATTGAGTGAACTATTAGCTGGCTCATAGCCATTTTAGTTTTTCCTCTTTTAAAGAAAATAAGTGGATTTTAAAATACGATAATAAATGTAATTAGCTCTGAGTAAAAGGAGGGGGACAAAGGAAAATAGACCCCTCAGTGTTTTTGAACAAATTTAGAAACATAAATTGAAATACAATTGCACAGTTACAACAGTAACCTAGGAGAACAGTAGTTGAATCACAGTAAACCATAATTCCCAGTTTCCACACATTTCTTTTCCACTTCTTCAAGCTTGGCTGTACACTATAAATAGAATACTAGACCACTTAATCCCATAGCAGAGGTAGTTTCAAAATAAGGAGATTAGAAAAGATATTTAAATGTAAGTATGCACATGCTAGACATAATATCATGCATGAATGAATAAATTCAGGCAACTTACGTTGCAATTCATCATGTCGGGAGCTCTTCTCAATTAAAAGGCAATATGCCAGAATTACAGCTTGCTGTGATGCTGTCAAACTGGGAGAAACATGGGCACCATTTTCCATGCCTTGTGACCTAGTTTTAGAGTCATCATTTTCTAATAACTTCGGTATTCTAAGTATATCAGAGGTTTCACGCTGATGCAAATTCCAGTTATCTTCACCACTCTTGGAATCACATGTTTGGATACCAGCACCTGTTAAGGGGCAGTTATCCACATTGGATGAACTTGTGTTCGTAACAAGTACCATCTGTGCCTTTGGTTCTGCCTATGTCCAAAAACTACATATTAAAAGATAAGTTTCATGAAACATGTTATGAATCATGCAGTTCACAATGTTTACCTGATGTACAGTACGGAAACCAAGTGCACCAGTTACTGAAAGCTGAAGCCCAGCTGCCATCTCAGCTGACTCAAAATGCATCCTGTTACGATATGGTACTTCATCATAAAAGATACCACAGGAGAATCAATAGTAACATACTATTTCAACATATAGATAGTATTCTTCAGAAATACCTCGCAGCATACTTTAGAGCCATTTGGCTTCAGTTTTTATTTTATTTTATTTTATTTCCTGTTATCATTTTAATTAAAAAAATGTCACCTTATTTTCATCCAATTCCTTGTTATCCAAAATTCGTGCAGCAAATAATGAAAACAACTTTTTATTGTTTTCACTGTTTCATATACAAACTATTGAAAACAGGAAATAAAGCTAAAAACAAGGTGGAAATTTTGTAATAAAAAGTGAAACAAGAAAATGAAATCAAAAAACATTTTCTCAACACCAAACCTTCCTTATTTTCTAACATCACAAAATGCTTAGTTATTTAGAAACGTTCAAATCAGTCATTAAAAACCTAAATTACATCTTTTGACCATTTTATACAATGCTTCAAAAGACAAAAAACAAAAACAAAAAACACTCAGACAGACAGAAAGACATAAACGAGGATGGGAAACAAATTTTAAAGCATACTATCACACAATTCATGGTTCACTGTTCATATCAACTAACCTGCAAGAGTCAACTCGTCCGTATGCATATTCCATAATGCCAGCTTCTAAATGAAGCATGGATACAATCGCCAAGCTCTCCCCATCGCGTAAATCATCCTCCCAGTAACTCCGAACTAGCTCCGAAGTGCCGAATTGCTGCAAAGCTTCGCCCATATAGACATGCAAGAGATCACACAAGGACGAAGATCGCTCATCCAAAACTCTCTGCTGAAGAAGCAAAACCCTCGCAAGCCACCACGAAAGGCTTCCAATCTCAACCGACAAATCCTTCATCCGCATAAGCAACATCTTTGCAAAAACTACATACTAAAAACAAACACGTAACAAGTTAGTAACATGATTCGATTCTAGTCGAGTTGTTAGGCGTTGAATGCATGACAAGTACCTGAAGATTCGAGAACTTTCCAAGCAAATCAGAACCAGCGGACATAACCTGATTTCGCGCCCAATTGTCCCATTCATCGCTTCCATCCAAACACAGAGGACACCCCGGTAGCTCTGCACCTTTCAAAGGCCTATAGCAGCAATGGTTTCATTTTATAATTAAAATAAAAAAGAAAATAAAAAACTAAAGAGAGAGTCGTATTAAAAAAAAATTACCCGGTGAAGTTAGATTGAGTGAACCCTAGAAATGCGGCGACGGCGACGCACAAGACGACCACAGCTCTGCGACGCTGTTCCGCCGCGTCGGAGGCGGCGTCTCTGACGAAGGACTCGGCGCGGTCGACCAACTCGGAGTAGAGGCGGTCGGCGGCGTCGAGCGGCGGCGAGTCATGGCCAGCGAGTTGGAAGACGAGGGCGGAGGAGTGTTCGGAGGTTAGCGCTTGGACGTAGTTGCCGCTCTCGATGGAGTTCAAGAGGTCGTTGATGCGGCCATCCAACGGTTCGTGTTCGCGGCGGGGATTCAACGGCTGCGACGGACTGAGGGTGCAGCGAATGAGGCGTAGCTCGTAGCCGCGAATGGCGACCAGCTCGGGTTCAATGGTACACATGCTCTGTAACTGTTCCAACCACGCTTTGCTTGCGCTGATTCAGGGTTTAGGGTTTTGAATTATTTTATATTTATATTTTCACAAATTTCAGAATTGTTGAGGAAAAAAAAATTATGAAAGTTTTCAACATCTGAAGAAGAATTCCACTGTATTTATATTTTTTTATATAGACACCCATGTTGTTGAACATGCAGCGCAAAAAAAGTTTAAATACCAGGATTTATATTAGTTAGTATATTAGTATATTATTCTAACATATCAAAGAGAAGGAAAAAAAAGACAGACAGACTCACTTACCATATTTAACTTATTATCAAATCTTCATATATGTTAAGATCATTAATTTTATAATATTTTTTATTTGTAATATATTAAAATTAGCATTTTATCAATATATATAATGCTTGTACAACACACACAAATTACATTGATATTTGAAAGAAAAAGAAATGAAAAATACCAGGTCTATATATAAAAATAAATAAATAAATAACAAACACCATTTAAAACAATTAGCTATAAAATGTTATAGTTATAAACTCGTAAGCAAATTACTATGAATTCCAGGCTAGAAAATAGAAAAATAAAAGCTATAATTTAAGTAAGTATATGATTAAGTAAAAAAATGTTATAATATAATATTTTTATGAAATCTATAATAATATATATATATATATTTATTTATATTGTTGGGATGCAAGCAAAGTCCCACATCGTTCAAATAATAGGATGAACATGAGTTTATATACACACAGTTGTCTTCATTAGTTGAGAAATTTTTTAGGTGATGTCCAAAAATAAAACCGTGAGGGCTTGGGTCCAAAACGGACAATATCTCACCGATATATGTATATGTGTGGTAATCCTATGTGCATATATAATTAATCATTGATTTCAACCATTGGAAAAATTATAAGTAATAACAACGATGTGTATGCATGTGTGAGCTGCTGAGGTCACCTTAGAAAAAATTTTACTAGATGCATTTATATCATGTGACAATAATGTATGTGTATATATTGAGACATGAACCAACATGTATTTTTATTTGTAAATTATCATCTAATTAATATTGTTTTCTTTATCAAATACTAAATTGATAGTGTTAAAAAATAATTTAAGCAAAATTTGATTTAATATGTTATAAATAAATTAGCAAACTATGTTTAAACATTCTTCTTTTTAACAAACTCAAACTTTCAGCTAAAATCATCTATATATGTGAATTGAGCTTCAACAGTCTATTTTTCGTTTACAAATAAACATCAAGTGCTCGATTTATTTTATATCCCTAGTTATATGACATGCTCGTGACAAAATAACATTTAATTATAAGATATGGTAAAGTGTGTACATGAAGAGATAATCTATTGCATATGTCTTACCTTAGTTTAAACAACAAATAACAAAGTGAAAGATAATTCCTCTCAATCTAACAACTAAAGTTTTTCACAGTGTTGTCTTATAAATTGGTCTAATAAGGTAGTCTTAGTTTTTTAAGTCAGTAGGGACTCCTTATTTAAACATCAAGTGAAAATTAAACTTATAATAGACTCACTCATATCACAAATTCAAATAATTAATATCTATAAATTAAGATACCATAATTAATAGTATAAAGTCAATCAAGTAATTAAATAATATTAATGGACAAACTTCAACATAAGTCTCACTTCTATGACTAAAATCACACACTTTTGATGAGTGTTTTCTTTTAATACTTTTGAAACATGTTATAACATTATGTGATTTAGTTAAAAAATCATGATATTATTTTAAGTACATAAAGAAAGTAAAAGTGTTGGTACACAGGCGTTGAATGTCCAACAATTAAAATTAGTACGTACATAAATAATAATAATAATAATAATAATAATAATAATATATTATTATTATTATTATTATTATTATTATTATT